CTCTCTCTCTCTCTATTTTTTTTCTTCTTTTTTTACTTTTGGCATTATGTGATGAACAGGGGATGGAGATTGCCGCGTTACTGGCGCAGTACCTACAGGCCCCACCGCCGCAACAAATAGCATTGCGAACGACCCACTCGTCGCTCTTCACAGACGACGTTGTTGCATCTCTTGACGCTGCGCGGTTGACGCTGCGGGAGGCGCAGGAACGCTCGGAGGAGGTTCGCCGCGATGTCACTAACATTGTGCGGGGAGCTGATCTTCCGGATGGGCTCAATCTCACAAATGAGGAGTTGCGCGCCCTCAGCAACACAGAAGAAATGATGATCTCACGTTTCGCAGAGCACATGGAGGCATTACTTTCACAGAGACTAATGTGTGCTCATGAACTACATGGTAAGGATGCTTTATTGCCTGTTAATCAATCTAACACTGTTACACTTTGGTATCAACAGTCTTCTATTGTTTTGGAGATTCTCTCCTTTCTTCCTGTAGAGTGTACATTAGGGGTTGCTGAGGAAGTTTGTATGTTATGGCAGAATTGGTTGGGAGATCCCTCTCTGTCGAGAAAATTTTGGACAGACTGTGTGAGGCGGGAGTTTACGGAGAACTTCCACATGTTGGTTGAATCAGAGGGGAAAGATTTACTACACAACGGTGATTGGCGCATGATTGCTATGATATGTTGCACCGATGACGATGATGATGATAATAATAATGGGGTTGGGTCGGAAGAGACACCAGTAGTTGAGCAGGATAACTGAATGATGATCAGCTACGAATGATAAGTGGTCTATTCAATATATATATATATATATATATACTCTCACTTATTCTTTCTTTAAACAGGGTTTTACTACTATTTTTTCTGAGTATATATATATATTTGGTCGTCATGTTTTTTTTTTATTTTATTTTTTTCTCCTTTTTTCATACATTTCTATTCTTCATATCACTAGAAACCGTTGAGAAAGAAGTTAAGACACGAAACAGAGAAGGAAAGAGGGCGTTTTAGTCTGAAAAAAAAAAGTTGTCACTAAGTTTTGAGAATAAAATAAGGAGTATAAAAAAAAAAAAAAGTACTCTGATTAAATTAACAGTAGTGAAGAGTTTTAGTTAACCATGGCATTCTCCCCATTTGTTAGTGCAGTTGTGGCGGAGTTTATTGGAACATTTCTTTTTGTTCTTACAATCCCATTGGCTTCACTTGGTGTGGGGTCACTTGCACCGTTGCCAATCGGATTTATGCTCGCTGCCATGTGTTTTTCATTTGGTTATATCAGTGGGGCTCATTTTAATCCAGCAATTTCTTTTGCCACATTTATCAATGGTAAAATTAGCTTTAAAAAAATGATTTCATATGTGGTTGCACATGTAATAGCTGCTTTTCTCGCAGGTTTGTACGGATCAGCTATAGTAGGTTTGGATATACCTGTTCCATCAACAGATGTATCTTTGGTAAGTGTGTGGCAAGCCATATTATGTGAAATGGTATACACATTTGCTCTAACCTCAGTAGTACTGCATGTGAACTACTCTAGACAACGAAGTAATGAATTCTATGGGTTTGCAATTGGTATGACTGTACTTTCTGCATCTTTTGCTGTAGGTGGTTATACTGGAGGTGCATTTAATCCTGCAGTGGCAACTGGCACGCAATTGGTTGGATGCATTGGAGGAAATTGTAAACCTCTTATCTTTTTTTGGATATATTGGGTCGCACCTCTCGGTGGGGCTTTTCTTGCCTCTATCGCCTATCAGATTCTCGATACACACGAGCGTGATGTCAACGGAAATTTATCGGAGCAAGTCTTCTAGAAGAATGGAAAAAGACAGTAAAGACCTTCTTTATCTAGTTCATCTGGAGAAGTTTTAGGCTTATTTGGGTAATTAAAAATGATCATGTGAATCAAACTGGTTAAGAGCGTTCGGAAAGATAGGATAAATAGTGTTTTTTTTTTTTTTTCTTTTTTTTTTTTTTT